CCGAGCAGACGGGTGAAGGAGGAGAGTCCTGGAGTCCTCAGTGGCCTTTGCAGGCTTTTATTGGGATTTACCAGGTACACGGCAGGCAGGGGGCCCGGGGGGGCCGGGAGGCTGGCAGGCCTCCTAGCCACCAGCAAATCTTCACTCTTTCTGGACTTTCCAGCCTTCTCTCGTGGCCTCTGCTTCTCTCTTTTCTCATTTCTTCTCTTCCACTCTGCTGTTCCATTCTGCTGGCGTCCCTGTGACACCGCCCTTATAAGCCCAGTCTCTAAGCCCAGGTGTACCCACTTACATATGCCCACACCCTACTCCGGGTGTCCGCCATCAGGCATGCATTCAGGACTGCAGATCTATCATCAATCCTAGTGGCTGGAGGGCAGAAAAGCCTGATAACTTTTATTCACCCTACAGATGCTTTGTAGGAAGTCCCGCTCCAGTATTCACTTTCTTCCCTTTTGGCATTCTATAAAGAGCAGGAGGAAGCAAGAAGGGGATCTGGGGTAGCTGTTTGGCAAGGCTGAGTCAGATTATCTCCCTTTCAGACGACATCATTTTAGCATTAGTTATCACAATGCACTATTACCCTGTTCCTTCAGTTTCATGCACACCCACCACATCTTAATGCCATGTAAACCCTGGCCAACAGATTTGCTATCCTCCACACTAGCTGTGAATTTTACCTTGCTCTTAATCTACAAAAGGTGGTACAATTTGAATATATTACCTATTGATCCCCAAATTATATAAATACCTATGAACCACCTATATTATTGGGAGAAATCAAGACACAAAGTCCTTTGAATATATCTTTCAGTATGACAGTTCTCACCTTACGAAATTTCTGTTTGTATGTCTGTCTTGTACACTGGACTATGACTATTTTAAGAGTTGAGATCATCTTTGCTGGAAAAGCAGTGCAATACCTGACACAGCATTCAATCACTATTTGAATAAGTGAATGAATGCACATGTATCCAGGGACAATGTGGCTGAAAGCCCAGACTTTGAGGTCAGATAACCTGGATTCTAGCCCCATCTCTATCCTTTCTAGATATGTAACCTTGGACAAATTGCTTTATCTGTCTCTTGAGTTTTCAGATTCCCTATCTACAATGTGCTGAAATAATGCTACATATTTCATAGGATGTACACCTGATCCAAAATAAGTACTCAATAAATGTTATTACTTTTATTACTGAAATCCAGAATGCCTGACTTCTATAGCCACTGAAAGACTCCAAAGCATTTAGCTAGTTTAATACCCAACTCTACTCATGCAAAAGACTTAGAAAAAGTCTAGCCATCTTGTAAGTATTCATTTCAAAAGCTGAGACATGATTTAATGGCCTTCTAGAATGCGAAAGAGTTCCAGGCACAGGTGGTGGTAAGCAGCTGTTTTCCATCTCCGCTGAGAACCAGCTGAGTGTCTTAAAGAGCCACATGAGTGATTTGGATATAAACTATTAGGAGTAACTTCCTAATGCGTGAGGATAGGAAATGCTAGGGTGAAACCTTAAGGGAAGCCATGGAATACCCCTGTCTTGAGACTCTTTAAAGACTGGATACTTAATCTGTTCACTCAAAGATGGATAAAGACCAGGAACACAACTTATATTAAAATAACAAGCAGAAAAAGGCAAAATAATGAGCAGTTTGCAAAGGTCAGTCAAGTTTGATTTACACTGCTGTTGACCCAGTTCCAGGGACGTACTATCACATGGAGACGCAGGCAAAAATGAAGCAGATCCCTCTACATAGTGAGATTGAAATGAAAACATTTTAATGTACTGTGAATCCACCTTCAAAATAACTTTCAGTCTCACTGAGGAACAGTTCCTGGTGCAGGACTTGGTGAGAGCAGGCAGCTTTGGAGGCCATGTTCAGAGGCAACCTCAGATAAGTACCTAACGTCCTACTGTGTGCAGATCACACAATTTCCAGCTGAAAATGGCAGACAAAAGAGTGGGAAAGCCTCTTCTATTCCACTCTCTGTAGGGAAAGTGTCAGAGTGACTTCTGTAAGCGGAGAGACCCAAATTATACACCTGTTGTTCTTTTCAAATGAAAGAGTCTTTTGCATGTTTCTTCTTGAGAAGAAAATAATCTAATTTCAGTGAAGAGGTAGATGTGGTCTTGTCAGGTAAGGTAAAAGTATCAGGCTTTTCTGCCCTCCTGCCATTAGGATAGATGATAGATCTGCGGTCCCGAATGCATGCCTGATGGCGGGCACCTGGAATAGAGTGTGGGCCTAGGTAGATGGGATACACCTGGGCTAAGACTGAGCTTTTAAGAGTGGTGTCACAGGGACTCCAGGAAAAGCCAAGAGAGCAGAAGCAGAACCACGAGAGAGCAGAGCAGCAGAGACCACCAGAGAAAGCTGAAGAGCCCAGAGTGAAGACTTGCTGGGGGCTGGGAGGCCTGCCAGGCTCCCGCCCCCCAGTACCCCTGCTGTGTACCTGGTAAATCCCAATAAAAGCCTGCAAAAGCCACTGAGGGCTCCAGGACTCTCTCTTCCTTTACCCTGGTCTGCTGGATCAGAAAACCTGCTCAGTGGCCTATTCCTGCCCCTTACAGGTCTCTTACTCTACTTCCTGATTACTCAGAGGAAGAGACCAAAGAGAAAAAAATTTTAGGAGGAAAGATAAGCTAGCAGAGGCTTTGATCCTGAGCGACCTAAAGCTTGAGTTAAGGCTAAAAGGAGTGTTTGGATAGGTGACGGACAGATCAAGGCTTGTTAGCAGCTTTACAGACATATTAGGGGATTAGGCTGAAGACTGAAATGGTAACATGTGATAAAGGCTGTACTTAAATGGAATTTAATGGTTTGTTCTCTCCCAAATTATTGAACATTAAGTTTAAATGTTTTCCTATAAATATTAAAGTATATGTATATAGCAAGATCACCAATTTGCACCTTACCACGCAGTTTTTAAAGGAAAATATAACTTCTTTATTTCCTATAACAGATCTACTTTTCCTCAAGGCTCACACCCCATTGAGGAACAGGGGAAAAACAAATTTGCCAATTAATAATATATCAGACTTTTTCCTTTGAAACCGTGTTGTTTGGTAATTCCTCTTTTGTTTAAGAGAGAGAAAATTCTGTTTATTCTCTCTCTCCAATGGCTCATGATGATGAGAAAGGCCTGCAGACTGGCACGGTGAGCCCTATTCCTGTGGGTCACTAGTCTGGCCCAGCACTAATCTGGTGTCTACTGGGCCATGAGTGGCCCCTCATGGCCTTTCCAGGTCCTGTGCAATCATTCCCTGCAGGAGACCCCATTCACTAGGACCCAAGGTTCTTCCTGAGGACATAGAAATGGTCACCCCAAGGCCATGGAAAGGTCATCCAGTCTGCCACTAATGCTAGACCATGCCCTTAGTGCCCCTGGGAACGACATTGAAAAGGTCACCCCAAGGCCATGTCCAGTGTGACATGATCCCCAAGTCTGGAGAAGTTGCTAAGGCCAGCTTCTATTCAGGCTTGGAGTCTCTCCCAGCTATGGATGGGTGCCCTCAGGTTCCCCATTGCTAGCAGCATATTTCTGTCACCACCCGCTCTTCTCCCCAGGCTGCCACCTTGTAAAAAGCAGCAAAATACTTCCCTCTTACTGCTGCACTTGCTTTGTTTCACCACAACTGCTTTTAACTAGCGGAAGCTATAAGATGGTCATAACCTTTGGCAACCCCACCATCATCACCACCACTAAAAACAGCTGACAAACAACTAAGAACTCTAAGTGACCCTGGGCAATCAGATTCTTAGTAGACCCAACAGAGGGATAATTCCTGCCCAATGAGCAATAGGACTTGTTTTAACCAATCCTCTAAGAGTAACGCATGAGTTCTGACTTTGCCAGAGTAAAGCTTCTCAATCATGAATTAACATATAAGCTACAAACGACTCCTTTTCAAGCATACAAACCCCCCTGCCCTGACTTTCTCCCTCAGATACTTTGGTCACTGCTGCTGTGCATTCCCCTACCTGGGAAATAGCTAAGCTCAGTGTTGCTTTGTTCACACTGAGATCGTCACTGGTTTTCCTTGATTAATCATGACAGGAGGAGGAAGTAAGGACACAGGTATCTGAGTCTTCTCCTCTGGTGTTCACTCTATTGCTCCAAAGTGCTTCTTTCTATTGAGTAGGTCTTCTGAGCTCATCATTCCCAGGGGCAATAAGTGACATGGTCTAACACTAGTGGCAGACCAGATGGAGGTAGACAAACTGGCTTAGTAATCAGGACACATATTAAAAAGTAGTTATAAAGCATTATGTATACCTATATAAAAAATGAAAAATGCAGTTAAAATTAGCACACAGTCAAGATTTGACTTATTAGATTGCATACTAGTAATACTAATAATAATAAAACTTAGTGTTTAGCATGTACTAGATACATTGCTAAGAGTTTAACTCATTTAACTCTTGCAATGTCCCTATGAAGTAGGTACCACTGTAATTATCCTCCTCATTTTACAGATGAAGGAACTGAAGCACCAGATAGTTAAGTCACCTTGCCCTGGGTTACAAGGTGAACTGAATGAGCCAGTATTGAAATCTAAGCAGTTTGGTTCCTGCGAAACACACAATACTGCCACTGGGTGTCAGCATACCAAAACAAAGGAACAGCAGTTTCCTTCAGGAAGAAAAGGGAACAGGACTACTAAGGTTCTTCTAGTTACAAAATACTTATGTATACACTTCCGAATTTAATCTGAGAGGTAAATACACTTTCTAAAGAACCAGAATATGCAATATTTCATTAATGAAGTGACTAATTTGCTCCAGATGCACTTTTGACCATATTTTTTTAATTGAAAAACTAACATTAGAGTAGACCTGGAAGAGGATCAATTTCTAGATGTTTTGTTAACAAAGGGCTCTTTCCAACTATTTTCACTTATCACACAATGACCCACTATTAGAAAACTTAAGGGAAGATCCCATTCAATGTGTTTTCTCCCTGTGTAAAAACCAGCCAGAGTCGAGCATTAGCTATAAAATTATCTGGTTTAATTGCTATCAACATCAGAACCATGGGACATTAGAGTATACGAAACCTGTATGTACAATTACACATACAAAAAAAATGTTCTTTGTGAGGAGCAATTTCCAGCAAGTCTGACAAACAGCAAGAGTCTTTCCTATTTTGGGTTTGAAAGGAGAAATGGAAATTTTCAAGATGTCTCCCTCCTCCTTCTGGCTCCAGTGACCCTCCGAACATCAATTTGCAAAGGCTTGAAGCAAGAAGGGCGTTATTAACAATATCAGGTTCTCATTCCCCCTCTCTTATGGAAGAAATGAATTTTTAGGAAACATTTCCCATCATTTATTATACTGATGTTCCATCCATCTGCATCATTAGGTTGAGTAGTTACCATGACAATATGATGCCTACAGCAATCTAACTTGATAGCCAGATGCCAGAATGTGAAAAAATAGGACCAGCTAAGAAAGTGAGAGAAATATAATTAATCTGAACCACATTTTTTTAATGGGCCAAAAACGAGGACCAAGAGAGAAACTGCTGAAAATGTCACTGAAAAGGGAATTATGATAGGAAACAATAATCAAGTTTCAGTATAAAGACTTGGCTAACTAGAGCTGTTAATTGGTCTGTAACTAAGACAGAGCAAGAGTCAGAGACGGTCCAGAATATGGTCCTCAATAATTTTTTGCTGCAGAGCCCAGGGCTGTCTTTGTTGACCTGGGCAGTGGTGTTCATAGGCCCTGACTGTCCTGAGGGTGTGAAGCCTCCACCCTCAATACTGCTGGCACAGCATTCTGCTCACCTCCAGTCTTTGATACCAGCTTTCCCATCTGTGGAAGCCATTTCCATGGATCTGAAGCTACATCTTGAGAGTTAGACTGTGTTGTGCCCTAGGAGTCTCAGTCCCCTTGCCTTCTAAATGCCCAGTGTAGGCAATAGACTGGCACAGTCATCTTGATAACCCTTCTATGACAGAGGGATGGGGGGGTTCAGAAGGAAGAACACATAAAAGTTGTACCCCAGAGAAACCCGCCTGGGGTGGGTCGTCTCATCAAGGCTGGGTTGGATAGCGACGCTGAGCTAGGCGATTGGGCCGGTTCAGGCCAGTGGTCATGGAGAGCTGGAAAAGAACAAGCATTGCACAAGATTATAGCCCCAGACATGACTCCCTTCTCCCCGGGCTGATGGTTGGATTGAGCTAGGGCGTCCTGAGAGTCTAGAACACTTCAATTGCATTTGGCTTAAGGAGTGGGGTTCTAATTATTCACTTTTACTTCTTAAATGTGGCAAGAGAAATTCAATTTTATAAAGAAGGGAAGCCCAAGTGACACATGGAAGCAGTCAGTCTGCCCCAGGCCTTGGAGGTAGTTTTGAGCTTCTCACAAAGTTTGCAATGAGACCGTAGCCCAGGACACCCTGATGGCATAGTCACAGCACTGACAGCAATGTTAATGGTGTCTCTTGAGTCCTGAGACTTATGAAAGGTCAAGGGTAATGCTAGTGATAATGACATTGATTAGGTCTCTTCTGTGTATGAGGCCTTTAACGTACATGTTCCCATTTAATCATCACAGTTATCTTGTGAGGTCACTACTTCTGAACCCAGTTTTCAGATGCAGAAATTGAGACAGAGAAGTCAAATTATATTCAAGGACTCACATATAGTATATCAAGTGGTAAACTGGGATTATAAACTTAGGTCTCCATTTAACTGAGGTGGAGGATTATTGAGGTTTATGCAGTAGGTGGGTGAGATAATAAACAATTGCCCTAAAACATTCACAGTGTTGTAAACCAACATGACCTCAATAAATGTAATAATAATTTTAAAAACCTATGTCTCCTTACTTCAAAACATGTGCTTCTAGCCCCTCTCCTTCAAGACTTCCTTACCTGAGCGACCTGAGATGGGTTGTAAAGAGGAACAGACCCTTTGAAGGTGGGGGGAGGCAGCAGAGAACCAGGATTGAAGTAGGTCTCTGAAGAAACACCCTGTGGTGGAAAATAATAGAAAATCTTATCATCACGCTGCTTCCCAGATTCCAGAACATCAAGGACTTCTCTGAGCATCAGCTTGGTCAAGAGAAGCAGATGGGGGCCTCCCTGGTGGCTCAAGGGATTAAGACACAACCTATGAAGCTATCTGCAGCCTCTGCAGCACAATCCCCAGCCAGGGAGCTACCCACATGGCGCAGCAAACCTTTCCTGTCTCATCCGCTGCTCCCGTCAGCAGTGTATTTCAGTAGATCTGCCTATTCTGCTCCCCACTCTGTCTCTGGTGAATCCTCTCACCCCCCACACCTCTGGCCTGTACCCCAGTTCTTGTATACCTAAATAAATCTCTTTTAAAAAGAGAGAGAGAGAGAAGCAGATGGGAAGGATAGAAATTGGTGGACATCCAGGAATCTCAAACCAGCCAACATGGTTGAAGTGAGCACAGACAGCCCCTAGGTCCAGAGGGTGTGCAAGGGTGGGGGAGGTAGGAGAGCAATGCAGAAGTACAGCACATCAGAAAAAAACAAAATAACTTATACAAACAGCATCACAGAAAGAAATATATTATTTGAAAATATATAAAATACTACAAAAGCGCTCTAACCAGACCACAAGAAATAAAAATGTTTTCCCAGCAGTTAGCATGAAACCCACACTGGTGTGGACAATTCATCGAGACTCTTAATATAATCCTTGTCAAGGATGCTGAGAACTCTGGTTCCAACTGAGACAGGGAAAGAGGCACCAAAGAAAATTATTGGCTCAGTTGTGTCCCCTCAAAACTAAACATGTTAAAATCCTAACCTCTAGGACCTCGGAATGTATTTAGAGATAAGGTCTTTAAAGAGGTAATTAAGGTAAAATGAGGCCATTAGTGTGGTCACTAACCCAATAGGAGAGGTGCCATTACAAGAAGAGGAAATTTGGACACAGGCACTCAAGGAATGTCAGTAAAGACTCAAGAAGAATCCAAACCTGCCAACACCTTGACCTCATACTTCAGACTCCTGAACTGTGAGGAAACAAATTTCTGTTGTTTAAGCTACACAGCTCATGACATCTTGTAATGGCAGCCCAAGCAAACCACTATAGAAGCTTTCTCCATATTCCCCATGAGTCAGTCACCTCCACCCCTTGCAGAAAGTTTAGCCCTGACACTGCAGGGATGCGGGGCTGGGGAAGTCGGGGCTAGGCCCCAGTCTCCAGGCTGCTCACCTCAGGCCCGGACAAGCCTCCACTTTCAGTACTCTCAGCTGCTCCCCCACTGGACACCGATCCTAGGACTTCACCCCCACCTAGAAGGAGTCAAGAATTTATTTCCACTACTCGGCATGGAGGAGTCCCCTCACCCAGAAGTCACCCAAACCCCAGGGAAATGAAGAGAGGAGTGCAGTTGGCCCAGAGGATGTGAGGTTGGTGGTACCTGTGCCCCTGGGGAAGGCGCTAGTACCTGGCAGAGGCTGGGACTCTGGGAAAGGTGTCAGTGAGGGACCAGGGCCAGCCTTAGTGGGAGATGGTGCTCTGGAGGTCTGCTGGGTGGACAGAGAAAGGCAGCATCATGCATTGGTGGTTCACAAACTCATACTGGCCTATTTGTGTTCCTGCAGCTCCCACAGTGCTGCCTCCATCCTCAGCCGGCTGCTGGAGTACTCTCCCCAAAACCCCATTTCCTGGTTCCACTCTCCTGCTCAGTAACCAAAATTAGTTCCCTACTGTTGGCCTACTAAAGTTAAACTTCTTCATCCTAACATTTAAAGCTTTTCATCATCTGCCTTTGCCCTCACAGGACCAGTTTCCCACAACCTCACATCAGCAGCCTTTGCTTCATCTGGCCTGGGGCAGAATCCCTGCCAGCCCCTGGCTCCCCAAGCTGTGGAGAAAACATCTACAGAAGGAGGAGCTTCCCCGCCCTCTCACCCAGGATACCTCAGAGTCAGGACTGTCAGATGAGTCTTCATCCTCAGAGGGGGATGCGTTGCTGGGCTTCGAGCGAAACCAGCTGAACCAGCCAAACCCTGAGCTCTGGAAGCAGAAGGGGATATTTTATGGCCTGTAGTTTGATTTTCCTGCTGAATGTGAGATGAACCCACCGCAATGTGATGGTGGGAGACATAACCAAAGCCAGTTGCCCACTCAGTGCCAGCCTTTGAGAAGGGAATGTGGGCAGAGGAGAAGGCCCTCACCTTTGTGTTCTCCTTCAAGTCTCCTTGCTTCTCTCTCTGCGCAGCACTTTGGGAAGCCTTTTTATCTGTTTCATCAGAGGATTCATCCCCATCCTGCTCCTTAGAACTCTCAGCAACATTTCCTGCTCCAGGAATCAGGGGCACCTAGAATTAAAGAAAATAAGAACTAACTTTTGAATAGCACTTGACAGGTTTCATGTACTCAGTCGCCTAACCCAGTCAGTGAATCGGTGGGAGAGGCATACGGAATCACATTTTTCCGATGAGGAAATAGCACTTAGCCATGAGAAATGATTTTCTGAAGATCTCAGGACAAAGCCAAAGCCCAGAACTGATCCTCACATCATTGTTAATTCTGTGTCGTTCCTGACAGCTGTGCAGCCTAGCCGAGAACATAAGGTTTCCAGAACCATGCCCATGCCCGGAGCAGGGGTACAGAACATACTGCTGGAGATAAAGAACCCAGGAAAAATCCCCACAGGACCCAAAAACTCCAAGGGATAGACAGTGTAATGTTGTCAAACCTAACTACCTCAGAGCTCAGTTCCTGACAGACTTGCTCAGTCAACTCTCCTGACCAGAGGAGAGACATTAACATTAACATTTTTTATTTTAGCAAAATATAAATACAAGCAATGTTTACTAACTAACTAACCATGGATAAGTGCTTACACACAATTTTATAAAACCATGACCACTACCCATTTCCAGAACTTTTCATCTTCCCCAACAGAAACTCTGTACCCATTTAATTTTAGCCTCTCTCCACCCTACCCCACCCTCATTTTCTCCTCTCCCAGCCCCTGGAAACCTCCAATCTTTTTTTTCTTTATGAATTTTCCTTTCTTAATACCTCATATAAGCATACCTCAAGATAGCATAATTTTCCTTTGGAAAATAATTTGGCAAACACTGAAGAGGTTTTATTTTTTATTCTAATGCACACAAAATTTACTATATACTAAATATGATCTAAGTCCTTTATATATAGTGACTCATCTAATCCTTAAACAGTGGGGTTGGTACTACTGCTGTCATTCCATTTTACACATGAGAAAGCTAAGGCACAGAAAGATGAAGCAACTTACTGAAGGTCACACAGCTAATCAATGGCAGAATAGGAGTCAAACTTGGATGGTCTGGTTCTCTTTCTAAGCATTTCCCCCAATTGAATGAATCAAGAATAGACCAGGGTTTATACACTAGGATGCTTATCACATGTTTTATATAGGAGAGAGTAGAAAGGAAAGGAAGAGAAGAAAGGAAAGGAAAGGAAAAGCAAAGCAACACACTTGAAATGCTTAAAATGTAGGAATGACAAACTCAAATCTCAGCTCTTTGCCAAGTCTGCCAGATGCTCTATGATCTCACCTCTCTCTACCCCTGTGGTCTTGATTCTTGGCACTCTCCCCTACTGCGCCCCACTCTCTGGATACATGATTCCTGGACTCTCCCTGGGCTGTACCAAGTTAGTCCCATATTAGATGCTTTGCTCCTGCTATTCCCTGTCTTGAATTCTGTTCCTAGATGCCTACCTGCTGCATGTCCACATTCTGTTATGACCTCTGCCTTCCCTGCCACCCCCCACCCCGCCATCTAAAGTGGAATCCCACATGCCCACAGTTGTTTATTTGCAGTCACCTCCATGCATAGGCAGTACCCTGATGTCTGCCTGTGCACCCCCAGTCCCTGCAACAGTACCAGGTATGTTGCAGAAAGTCAGCATTTATAAATGAACAAATGAATGATTGATGGTGCTTTCATACAATGGATTTTCATGCCTATATTAAAAATCGTATTTATGAATGACAGAAAATCTCACTGAATAGAATTAAATAGTAAGTAAAGTTTCATATACACATGTTCTTAACCATTTTAAAATATATGTGTATACATATGTGTATGTATTTATTCACATACTAAAAAACATTGAAAGAAAATAAGTAAATATTTGACTGGGACTATGCGTGATGTTTATTTGATTCTTTATGTGATACTTTATCCTTATTTTTCAAGTTTTTATAGCAATAATATACTACTTTTTCAGTCAGGAAAAAAAAATAGAGCATAAATGCTTCATGCCTGAAGCCCTGTTACTACTTGAGAAAGTTAGGTGAGATGCCCTTCCCATAGCAAGGCCGAAGCTTGGTCTTATGCTTGGGACCAGCACTACCCATTGCTGGGGGGAGTGGTGCATAGAGAAAATGGTTCATTAGACATAGTCACCTCCATGACCTTACAGCTTGAGCGAGAAGAAACACAGCTGCCAAAGATCCTTCTTTGAAATAAAGCGAGGTAAGAATTTAAAAATAATAAATGCCACTATTGAAAACAGCTACTTTCCATAAAGCATCCACTATGCAAAACAATGTAGCAATTCCTCAAAAAATTATTTCTATTTAATCCATCTATCCCACTGTTAGGTATTTATCCAAAGAACACAAAGGTGCTTATTATTTGAAAAGAAATATGCACCGCTATGTTCATACAGCACTACTCACAATAGCAAGGATGTGAAAACAACCTAAGTGCCCAATGACAGAGGAGAATATAAAGAAGATGTGATATATATACACAATGGAATACTACTCAGCTGTAAAAAAGATGAGCTCTTGCCATTGTTGACAACACAGATAGACCTTGGAGGGATTAAGCTTAGTGAAATAAGTTAGAAAGACAAATACCAGATGATTTCACTCATTTGTGGACTATAAAGAGGGACATGAACAAAACAAAAGAATGGTTGTTGCCAGAGGGAAAGATCAAGGAGGGAGCCAACTAGGTTACTGGAGGATATGGTGAGCTATAATGCAGTTGCTGAATAAGAAAATGCATTCCTGGAATCTACACAGTGTTGTAAACTAACGTTACCTCAATAAAAAGAAAAAGGACTTTAAGGGAAGCAAGTCTGAGGCCAAAACAAAACCCAGTTCTGCAGACCCCTTCCTGCATGGACACAGATGGGTGGGATTGAACTTGAACAAGAACACAGCCTCCTCCCTACCTCTCAGCAGACACATGGTGCCATGGAGGGAAGGGAGCTCATGCAAGGTGCAGGACAGAGCTTGCACACATCTAGGAAACTAGAGCAAGTGGTGAAACCTAAACCTTAGCGTGGACATAGACACCCATTATGTTGTGTCCTCTCACCTGAGGCTGGGGCATGACCTTTGGACCACTGGAATGCTGGAAGTTTTCTTGAGACACCGTATTCTCTCCTGTGTCAAAAAAACACAAACAAAATAGTGATATGCACTTCTGTTTGCTCCATCCATTCTGAAGAAGGGTAATGGAGACACAGTTAGCTTTCCTAACTGCAAAGCTGCTGGAGTCCAGAGCCCATAACCCCAAGCAGATCACAGTAAATGCAAAGTCCACCTTCACTGCCTTTTCGATTCCAGCCAACCCAGGATATGCTCAGAAATCAACCTCTACCCAAACACCAAGGTCATTCCTGAGCTATCCTGGAAATCAAAGCAACACCAAGCTAGATCACAGGGATCCTCCAGGACCATCCCTTCCATTGGAATCTCCCTTCTCGGACAGGGCCTTATCTAAGAAGATCTAAGATATAATCCTTCTATTTGGTTCCCAGCACTATCAGGCACTGCTTGGTATTGCAGACCTGTTGTTCAAGGTTTGATGAGCCTGAAAAACTTGGGACGAGGAAAGAAGTGTGGTCTCTGCTAGTCGCTGACACTGAGCTCTTAGATGCACGATGGCTTCTGGAAAATGCTTGACCTGCACAGCTCAAGCTGCAGGGGGCTTCTCCACGCACAGCTTCTGTCCTAGAAACTACATAGCCCAAGGGGTGAGCAGGAGGGGCCGACATTGACCTTGGTATACTTATGCAGGCACAGAGAACTGGAATGGATCAGTACATCTCCTATGAATGAATGCAAAGTGCCAGCACATGCCGACACACAGTAGGCCCTCAACATGCACACCCACTGGTCAGGTCCTTCCCAGCTCCACGCCCACTGACTCTCATTCAACCCCTGCACTTCCCTTGCCTGCTTCCTCTCCTACAAAACTCCTTCCCAAGGCTCCCAGCCCAGCCGGCAGATCTTACCAGGGGTTGGATACATCTGCTGGTTTTCCTCCCAGGTGCTTCCTCCAGGAGCCCCTGTCACTGCCACACTGCCTCCACTCCCAGTCCCGGGCTGATGGGTCAGGGGAACTGAGTAAAGAGGCACCGGGACCCCAGTCTGTCCTGCACCTCCTCCATATGGGTAGGAGCCCGGCAGGAGTGGAAAGGACTGCTGTGGGGCGGGCTGGGCTGGGACTGTCGGTTCTGATGTTGGCCACAGGGCTGAGCGGTCACCAAGGGCTTCTGAATCACCTTGTTGTCCTGACAGATCCTGATAGAAGGTGTTTTCTAAGGAATAGAGCAAAGAGGAAGAGGTGAGGCCTGGGATGTGCACTTGCATAGACTAATCACACCAGGTACATTCCTACCTGTGTCGTCTTTGGAAAGCAGGAGAAAGGTCAGGCTATATGACATGACTTCCAGAAAGTGATGACAAGTGCAACACAGTGACATCAAAACACCTCTCACAGCATGGGACTTACAGTTTACAAATCACTACCCTGTATGATCACTAAGCCTTAAGCCAGAGGACTGGGGAGGCAGCCAGGGCATTCTTATTTACTGACACACTTTTTTTGGAGGGGGAGAGCCAACTCTTTCTCCCTTAGAGATTTTCTAACAGAGTTGGGTATTTCAAACTTAGAAAGTTTTCAGTTAAAAGCCAAACCATACACCCAAAACTAACATAATGTTGTGCCAATTACACCTGAATAAAAACCTAGGAAATTGATGGCAGACATGCTGGCTGGGGTATTGGGATCTTGGTGGTGTTCACTCCAGCTAACCACTTTGCTGATAAGGTGTGGTATATACAGCGCTTGGCCCAAGCTCACTGGACTGATGTGGTCAATCAACCCACCTGTCTGGCTGACAAGAGCTATGACTGCCTCCTAGCAGAAGTGGCCATTCAGAAACCCCCCAGCTCACCTCCTTTCTACCCCTTTACCACAGAAGCAGTGACATGGTGGCAAATTCGAGAAACAAAAACCAAGGCCACCCTTCTTGCCTTCCCTTCACTTATCTCTGAAGGAAGAGCAAAAGAACAGGAAATGGCTGGAAGTAAAGAGGTAAGGCCCCAACTGTATAATTGGGGAATGGAAGACTGATGTAATCAGGGATAATAATGTCAACCTGACCCAATGCCTAGAGGCATCGTGCAGAGAAAGGAGAGATGTGTTGAAAGCACTCTGAAACTTATTTCACATGTATGGCAATTGACAGCTCAAAATCTTCAGCTTCTCCTCCATCCCCAGCACCATCATGAAATACAGATAATCCACCATCTCTGACCTCAAGATTCATCTCCAGCTGGGGAGGCAGGACTAAAACAGGTGAAATAATTCAGTATCAATATAATACAACAAGGACTAAAACCTAAATGTGAAGCAGAAACTCTAAAGGAGTGGGAATTTAAAAGTGGCCAGATGCCAGTGGCCACCGGAGCTGGCCAAAGGGTCGGGTTGACAGAGGCAAAGATGGCATTCCAGGAAGGCCAGTGATTCTGTAAGTTACATTCTCTTGTATAATCAGAGAGTCAGTTCTTTACATACTTGGTTCATCAGTGTGGATGCCGGCTGTGGCTCTTCTGGCTCTTGAGTGAACAGAATGAGGATCCCCAGTGTCTGCTGATACTTTTTGCTATTAAAAATAAAGTGAATTCCTTTTATACAACATAATGTTAGACAACACTAGGCAACAATGGTTTAAAAATTAAGTCAAAAAGAAATTTCAGTAGATGTGACCAGGTGAAGGAAACTCACGTGAATGCTGGGGGCTGGTGGGGAAGGTCATGGGGGTGGGGTCATGATATCAGTCCTTTCTAGGTCCCAGTTCTGCTCAGAGCAGGCAAGGACCAGGAGCCTTAGACTGTCCATCATTTCCCAGAGAAAGGGGGAGATGAGGGAACTAAACTGTAGCCCCCACCCCCAGGAACATGAAAAGGTGCTCGACCTCACTAATCAGCAGGGAAATGCAAATCAAAACCACAACAAGCCATCACCACACACCTGGGACAATGGCAAATCTATAAGAGATAGCAAGTGCTGGCAAGGGTGTGGGGAAAAGGGAACTCCTATTTGGGTGGAATATAAATTGGCGTAGCCACTATGGAAACCATAAATGTTCCTCAAAAAATTTAAAATAGAACTACCATATAATCCAGCAATCACACATCTGGATATTCATCCAAAGGAAATGAAAACATCATGACTTAGAGACATCCACATCCCACGGACTTTATAGCATTGTTCACAAAAGCCAAGATATGGAAACACCTAACAGTCCATTGATGACTGAATAGAGAAAGAGAATGTGAGATATAGAAACAGATGGGTGAATATTATTCAGCCCTGAAAAAGGAAGTCCTGTGATTTGCAACATCATGGATGGACCTTGAGGGTATTATCCTAACTGAAATAAATAGGACAGATACTATTTTATTTCACTTATATGTGGAATCTATATTTAAAAAAACTCATAGAAAAAGAGATCAATTTTATGGTTACCAGAGGCTGAGTAAGGGTGTGTAGGGTAAAGAAAATGTCAGGCTTTTCTGCCCTTCCACCATCAGAATAGATGATGGATCCTTGTCCTGAATGCATGCCTGATGGCGGGCACCTGGAATAGGGTGTGGGCATAGGTAGATGGGATTCAGCTGAGCTAAGACTGTGCTTTTTAAGGGCGGCGTCACGGGGACGCCAGTAGCAGCAGAAGAACGAAAGAGAAGCCGAGAAGCAGCAGAACCCAGATAGAGTGAAGACTTGCCTGGGAGCTGCTCCCAGCCCCCCAGCCAGCACCCCTGCCTGCCATATGCCTGGTGAACCCCAAATAAAAAACCTGCAAAACCACTGAGGACTCTGACTCCTCCTTTACCCGGTCTGCATAGGATCAGAAAACCTGCACTGTGTCCTTCCTGCCTTTACAGGGTGCAAGTGGAGGAAGGTGGCCAAAAGGTACAAATTTTCAGGTAGAAGATAAACAGTACTGGGGATGCAATGGACAGCCTGGTGGCCAGCATTAATTGACACTGCTGCATGATGTATATGAAATTTGCCAAGAGAGTATATTTCCCATTGCAAGGGAAAAAATATTTCCTTCCTTTTTTTAATATCTATATGAGAAGTTAATTCACTGTAGTAGTAATCATTTCACAATATATGAAAGTCAAATCATTACGCAGTACCCCTTCAACAGTGCTGTGTCTGCCAATTATATCTCAATAAAACTGCAAGAAAAGAAAAAAATCCTGTATCCCCAAAGAGCACACAGAGGGAGTCAGGGGGCGTGTGCCTTAAAAGAGCCACGGGTTCTTTCTTCAGAGCAGAGCGAGAGAGAAAATGGAGGAGGCCCCATTCCAATCACTGTTGCAATTACTACCAGCAGCTTTTGCAATTGTCAGAACAAAAAGGGAAGGCCCGGAAGTCTTTCAAGCATTGCCCTACTTTACATGAAAGTGACACAGGTCCACAGTGATCCATTGTTCCTAAAGGAGAGATGAAAGCTTTGATGGTCATGAAATGTATTTTCTGGGACTGCAGTGAAGGGTGATTGGGAAGAGGGTCCACTGTCTTGCAAGCAAACAAAGGCAAACATGCCCACCCAGGAGAGAAGCAGCAGCAGGGATGCTGGTGCCAGGCCTTTCAGGTCAGACTCTGGGGTAGGGGAAAGCCCCACGGTTCTCCATGGTAGTCTGGGACTTGCTGAAGTCAATGCCTGACTACTCTGGATAGAGGCGAACCAAGAAGGAAATGAGGGGCGCATCCAGTGACAGATTCCACCCACTCACCTGGAGGGCCTCCTGGCGACTCCTAAGGCTCACCAGCCAGTCTGGCTCCTGGTCCCTGTCCCCACGGCGGCGTTCTAGCAGCAAAGGATCTGACAACTTCAGTTTCTCTGCTAGCTGTGCCAGGTTTCCAGATGTGTCCGTAGGAGAGGGGAAAGGAGAGAGAGAAAAGAAATGCATAGACAGTGGGAGAACAGGCAAGAAGCGGGGAAAGAGAAAGAGAAATTTAATTCTGCTCACTTGTAAACTTAAAGAATAACTGAGAGGTAGAATATTCAGCAGATATCTTCCCAAAATTGTACATAAATAACTCAATGTGGTGTTAGATACGAAATAAAATATGAGAAACTGTGTCACCTGGTTTTATTTCTTCTGCATAGCTCTGTATTAGCCCTTCTAAACTTCAGTGCACACAGGAATCCCTGGGAGGGACCTTGTTCAAATGCTAATTCTGATTCCGGAAGTCTGAGATTCTGCATTTCGAACAAGCTCCCAGGTGATGCCCACACTGCTGGTCAAGGGATCGTTTTTTGGATTCCACTGTAGTCCCCAAACTTTTTACTACCCTATTCCGGGTCCCTAAGTTCCCTACAACTAGCATCCTATTGGCGGAAATTTTAAGATAGGAGGACTCAACCTCGGAGAGTTGTCTGATTACAAACCCCATCACTTGGGCCTTGTCTAAAACAAAACTAAAATTGACAGTAGTACTCTCCATCAAATGGATTTTTCTTCAATTAATTGGGACAACTATTTGCTGGATTGTTTTCTTCCCCAAGAATCTAAGGTTGATATGTTGTTTTCTTTTTAACATGCATCCCACAGAGTGCAAACTGGTCCAACCACTATGGAGAGCTGTTTGGAGATTTCTTGACCTACTAAACATAGAGCTTCCATATGATCCAGCAATTCCACTCCTAGGTATTTCCCAAATGACACAGAAACATCAATTCCAAAGAGCACCTGTACCCCTATGTTTATAGCAGCACTGTTTACAATAGCTAAGCTTTGGAAACAACCCAAATGCCCAAAAATAGATAACTGGATCAAGAAGATGTGGTACATATACACCATGGAATATTACTCAGCATTCAAAAAAGATAAACACATGCAATTTGCAGCAACATGGATGGCGCTGGAAGGGATCATGCTCAGCGAAATAAGGTAGAAAGAAAAAGAAAAATACTGGATGGTCTCACTCATAGCAGGAATTTAGAAAACTTAAATAAGGGACCAGGAAAAAGACGAATCAATACAAAGTAAAAATCAAAATCAACAAGCAACTATAAACCAGAGACACACTACAGGGGGAGAGGGAGGGGCAGGGAAAGGACGGACTAGAGTCAAAATGGGGGGGGGGGTGCAATTGTATGGGGAATATAACCACAATGAAAATGCATACATCGTGCAAAGATGAAAAATGATGTCAGAATTATATAAAATAAAATATTAAAAAAACATGCATCCCACATGTGATAACTATTCCATGCCTTTAAAAATATTTCAATAAGGATAATATCCTGTTTTAATCACTAAAATAGATTTCCCGAGCACAGATTTTTATCATGAGAATGGTTTGCCGTAATACACAAATTTACTGTACCAGAAAAGCAGATGCAGGAATGGATTTCTTGTGTAAACATACACCTGGTTTCCAGTCCCCTAGCTCCCCCACCCATTGCATCTCTCTTTGTGAGGTGTCAAGCCTCTGCTTATCATATCTGGGCATGCAAGCATGGTCAAAGACAGCCGTGGGCCCGATTTTACAACATGTCCAACGAAGATGAAATGGGGAGTCTAAGCTGCTTTAGAATAGCTTCCTCTGAACATGGAAGATAAAACACCTGCAGAGAACCTTTGAGACGCTCACCTTGATGAGTTCCACTAATAGCACAGGGTGACTGCTCTCTTCCTGGCTAAGGAGGGCTGTGCCAATGGCTTCACAGTAATGCAGGGCCTGGGATGCCAGGCCGTAATCTGCCAGCCGTGAAGCATAAAGGAGTTTATACACCTGTGAAGAGAAATAGGGCCAGTTACTTATCTGTCCAGGAAGGGAGAGAACCAGACAGAGAAATGTAGATAAGACTTCTTGGAAGTCAGCTGATTGCCAGCTTCCGCTAACTCTGGCAGCCAAATAGCAAGGAGGGCCTTGTGCCATGAGGGGCGTTTTATCTGCGTGTAGACACAATTCCAAGCCCAGCTTGTGGGTCCTGCATTCCAGAGACAGGGATGGAAGCCACAGCAGGCCCATCTCCCTTGACCCCGATCACCAGGGAAATGCACCGAACTACTTATTTATCAGGCACTCTGGAAAGGCTGATGTTTGTACGGGTGTGAGGCACAGGACCAGATACCAGCGGGGGTGGGTGGGAAAGCATATATAAAAAAACAAAAAGAGGCCATAGAGCTTGCTTACAGCCCATGGCAGAGTACAGATAGATACAGAAGCACAGTGACAGGGTCAGAAAGAATGTGAGGGCTTGGGAGTCAGAGAGACCCAAGCTCAAATCCCAGCTCCATGTTGGATGTAGAACATTGTGCTAGTTGCCTCTGTGCCTCAGCTTCTTCATTAAAATATGCAGATAATAATAATATTATCCACCAACTGCCTTGGTTCTCATAAAAATTAAATGAAATAATCTATGAAAGTATTTAGAACAAATGGCATTCTGGAGATGTGAGTCATGTCAACTCCTCTGAACCTCAGTTTCCTCTTTTGTAAAAGGGAGGGTGCGCATGCCTTACATAATGCACTAACAACATGGAGCACAATGCAAATCTCTCTAACTCACTGATCTCATTATGCTCAGGCCCAAAGACAGAAAGCAAAGAAAGAGACTAATGTTTGCCCTGATTGTACAAAGATTTGTTGGAGAAGGTGAAGTGTTTGTAAATACCTTGAAGAAAATACTCATTGGCTCTCTTCTCTCCATAAAGTAGTGCATTCATTGTGTCTGTCTTGTGCTTCCTGTTGGGGTGTGTATGTGTTGTGCATTGTTGCTGTGTGTAGTCTCGATCCAAGAAGTAGTCCTTGGGAACTTAGGGTGACAACTGGGCCTTAGGTAGAGAATTCCGTCATCAAGAAGAGACTGTGATGTGGACGCCAGCTGCACAGCTACAGCCCCGAGGGGAAGAAGAACAGAGGGGAAGAAGGCCAAGGACAGAGAAGGGAGGAAATTCCAGATTGAGACAAGAGAAACATCCAAAAGAGACAGGAGAAGTAGCCCAGAAGGAGAGAGAGAAGGTGAGCAGGCCCTGGGGTGGACCCATGGCCAGTAGGACAGCTGCAGGAGCTGAGAAGATAGAGCTTTTGGGGAGAGACAGACAAGCAGAAGGAGCTGCAGAGCCTGTGGCTCTGATGGCCACATTGGAGTCAGTGAGGCTGAGCCTCCAGCAGAGAGGCCTCTGCAGTGTTTTCCTTGCATATCTTAAAAATGCAGACCTTTCGAGAACCAAAACGAAATGCTAACCCGTCCCATTCTCAAGCTAATGAGGAAACTTTCAGGTACTACATGTAAAAGCAAAGCTGAAAATCCAGCTGCCACAGCTGCCGATATAGCTGAGGTGGAGGCCGATATAGCTGAGGTGGAGGCCTTGTGTGGTTCAGTTACCTGGAAAGAAGGGATGAAGGATTTGGGGCGGCCCAGCATCTGACAATACTCGAAGATCTCCGTCCTCTGGATTGCCTCCGTGGTTGCAAATGTCAAAAACTCTTGACTAAAACCAGGGAATAATAACAAAAGAGATTGACGGGTTTTGTGGGGGTCTTAACAGGGGGTGAAATCCCAGGAGATAGTCCAACACCAATTGTGTTTATTTGTGCAGTTTCTTTCCCAGGGCTGAAAGATAATCCAGAGTCCAAGTTCTGCCTCCTCTTTGTCCATATCAGGAGGTTGGGAAAGAACAGAGTAGCTCCTGTGCTCCCAATTTCTACTGGGAGCAGAAACTGAAAGTAGGGTGTCCCCCACTTTCATTGCTGGAGGGTAACTTTAGGCAAGCTTCTCTCCATGCCAGCTCTGGGGTACTGGACACTCCTGTTCAACATCTGCAAGGTAACCTCAGTGCCCTACAAACCTCTGGGAAGAGCCATGCTGAGCCTGAGCAAAATAGCCCAAAAGAGAAGGGTGTACGCTGTAGCACAGCAAAGAGAAGGCACAGCAGAGGACAGGAGGGCGACTGCTGAACCAAAAGTCAAATGAAGTCCTTGTGCTGGATGTTCATTCAGCCAATAAGGAAGCAATCCAAGCAAATGAGATTCCAGGGGCTATCAGAATCCTCAGGTGCCCTAAATCCCAACTCAGCAGCTTGTCATTGTGTTTGAACCATAGTCACCAGAGCTATGACTCCAGAAATATCCTCTTACAGTACAAACAGGAGGGAGATAATGACTGTCACATTGGTGCACATGGGCTTCTTTGACAAGTGAAGCATGAGCTACCAGAGACCAAGGTCCTCAGAGATGGTTCTTTGGACAGTGGTAGGCAGCTTAGTGCAATAGTTCAAAGCAAGGTGACCCCATACTAACTATACTGTCTTAGAAAAGTTGTTTGGGGCCGCCCAGGTGGCACAAGAGGTTAAGACACAACCTATGAAGCTGTCCGCAGTCTCTGCAGCACAAGTTCGATCCCCCGGCTGGCCAGGGAGCAACCCACATGGCGCAGCAGACCTCTCCTGACTCGCCCGCTGCTCCCCTCAGCAGTGTACTTCAGTCAATCTGCCTGTTCTGTTCCCCTCTCTGTCTCTGGTGAATCCTCTCACCCCCCACATCTCTGGCCTGTACCCCAGCTCTTGTATGCATAAATAAAACTTTTTTTAAAGTGAAGATTAAAAGTATGGCTTCTTCATAGAGTATATCTGCATATACAACACACAATGTAAGAACTTGGGATCTCTTAACTACTATGGGAGGAGGCCAAGATCAGGAGCACAGAAAACAGGAAGCAAACAGGATTTTTTTGTGCATATTTTCACTTCTAAGCACAGAGGAAGGTCCCACTGTGTGTAAAGCACAATGTTATGGCCAACAGAGAAGAAGTGACAGGCAGAATTTTGAGTAGGTTGTGCCCAGAGTCCTTGTATGGGTGTAGGGGCTAACCATATACATCCACTTTCCAGTTTTGTTCAGTGCAGGCTCTAAGAAGAGCCCCAGGGCAGCCTGTCACAAGCCTCAGTACTCACACTAGTTTGTGAGTCTCTGGCCATGGAGCCAGGGCGCCACTATGTGGCCAAGAGGGCACAATACACCTCAAATGCACCTCTGGCAGTTTCTCCAGCAGGACCTGTGAGGCCCCCTGGTGGTGAGATGCGGCACCCACTGGGCATCTCTTCACTCAGGGAAGGCGTGGTCGCCGGCCTTCGCACCAGAAAATGGAAGATGGAGCCACAAAACCCAGCAAGAGCTAAAACAATGCCTAGAAAATGTCCCTCCCTTTCTCCTTACCCCAGAAGAGCTTGTACCTGTGGCTGCTGCCCACCAAGGCCAGATGGTCTGTCTTCACCGTGTAGTAGCTGAAGGGCACGTGAGCCATGAGGTAGCAGAAGTGAGCAGCTTCCACCAGCCCCTTCCCAGCTGCCGGAGGAGGAAAACAGTCCCAGTCATAGGACATCCCCAGGCACCCCCATCATCTGGGAGGGTTGGGAGAAACTTGGAAGAGTGGGCTCGGAGGTCAGAGGGGAGAAGCCTCAGGAGATAAAGGAGTAGATGTCCCACAGCTGAGTCACAGACTCCAGAACCCTCACCCCAAACCCCTCTCCTTCATCCACTGGCATTTTTTGGCCTCTAACATTGCATTTCAATTCTCTTCAGTCAGGATGAAGCACTATTTCACATATGCCTAATGATTTTTTTATTTGGACTTTTCTGAGCATTTCAGTCCCGCCTAGGGGTGAACAGCAAGGCCTACACCTGACTGTTGGGAGTAGCCATCTTTAAACTTGACTTCTGGGGGCACTAGTGCTGCCCCTGATAAAATCAAACAATAGAAGACTTTCCCAGAGCTCATAAAAATCACATTAATTACCAAATTGTGCACACTTTTAAAATATCCTCTCATACATTTTCTATTACCTCAAAATTGGATTAATCTGAGCAGGTAAGGGACCTAGCATGGTATCAAGCACCCAAAAAGGGTCTGGTCTCCAAATGCTACTCCCTTTGCACCTGTGCACTGAACTGTCTGCTGTCTGACTTGGCACAGTCTTACACATGGCTATTTCAAGTTGAATAGAGCAATATTTCACAGAGTTTCACAAAGAACACTGGGATTGCTTCATGTTCTGCCCCTTGACCAAATTTGAGAGCCACTGATCTGGAACATTCGATAGCTTCTAAGTGTTTATAAGGCTGCGTTGACTGAGAGATGATAGACATAAAGACTGCACAATTACCCAGGGTAGTTCGGGACAAAATAGAATTTCCTGTGTGATTGAGTGGGGTCGCTGCAGGACTCACAGTTACAGATGAGGTGCTCTGTGCTATTTCTACCTTCAGGGGAATCTGACCAGGATTGGAGAGAAAACCCAGAGGCACCTCCTATGGCAGGAGTAACCCAGAGTCAGGGGCCTGGCCTGCGCTGCCTAGCAGCAGAAATTCTGAGAAATAAGGAAACTCTGTTCCCTGGAGTTTCTGTCCCCAAAATTAAGCCCTGTGGGTCATAGAGAGGCCTGAGGCAGAGGCTCAGGACCCCACAGAACCTAAGAGATGAAATAAAGGATGTTCAGAGCTAGCCCTGAGGTCCCTGGAGGAGAGGCGTGGATGGTAATGATGTCCGCTTACCCAGCGTGTCCCCCATGGTGACAATGGCGCGCTGATGCAGCTCCGAGTCACCACCCTGGTTTGACAGAATCACGGCCAAGTGAGGCCTCCAGTCTCCCCACTGTTTGTCCCCACAACACTGAAAAGCAGCAAAAGTAAAGATTTACCAAATAGCACTGGCCAAAGGTAGGTAAAGAAGGTTGTTGTTTCCTGGTTTAGGGGCATTTGGGTGAGGCCTGTGATACTGTCTGCAATGTGGCTAGTTAGTGATTTAGCATTATCTTTTTTAAAAAAGCAAAAGTCTTTGCCTTCACTATCACTGCTTTGGGTGATGAGTCTTTAAAGATGTTTCTGAGATGTATGTCTTGTAGTGTTTTACCTTTATTTTCTGGATCAAGAAGATGTGGTACATGTACGCAATGGAATATTATTCAGCAGTCAAAAAAGATAAACTCATGCCATTTGCAGCAATGTGGATGGAGCTAGAAGGAATTATGCTCAGTGAAATAAGCCAGAAGGAAAAAGAAAAATATCAGATGGTTTCACTTATAACAAGAATACAGGGGAACCAAATAAGACATCAGTGTAAAAAAAAAATAACAACACAGCAGAAAACACAGCAAAGCAAAAACATACAATTATAAACCAGAGACATCCTGCAGGGGAGGAGGAGGGAGAGGGGTCAGGGGGAGGGAGGGAGGAGCACAGGGGACTGTGGTGATGGTGCACAGGTGCCTTGGGGAAGGAAATTTCTATGGGGACTCAATCTGAGGGGGTGGGGGGAAGCAAATATTGTATAAAAAAATAAAAAATAAAAAAGATTTAAAAGAAAGCAAAAGTCCTAGAAGAATGGGCAAGCAGATAGACAGAGACACACACACATGTACACACATACAGACACACAGCAGGTACTGGGAGACAGATAAATAAAATGACAGATAAATAAAATCACTTACTAATTTTCAGATTTCATCCAGTTACCTCCAAACGTAATAATTAGGGCCAAAACTCCCCATACCTAAGGGTTTGGGGGGGAAACCCTCAGGAAACTATAATGAAGGTCAATCATCCTGGACTCACAAGGAGAAGAGTCCACACTAGTCTGTTGGGTTCCTTATTATCATCCCCAGTGCTGTGCTCTGGTTCTACAAAACCCTTCCCTGTGCATCACTTATTTCATCTCAACAACGCTGTGAAGTGTTAATTCCTATAACCACTGGAAGAAAGAGGGAACTAAGCCAAGTGGCCCAGCCAGCACCCAATCCTCATTCTTTTTCTTCCAGCCTGAGGAATGTGCCTCCTCCCTCTGCTGCCCCTGCACTGTCAATATGATGCCACCAGGGGGCAGGAGAGTATTCGCAGAAATGTGAACTCTGGCAAAAGTCCTACACAAAGGGCACTTTCAGCACATCCTCTGGCCTAGGATCACCCTTTTCCTGAATGAAGGGAAATTTCTAGACTGGAAATATCAATAAAGAACTAGAATAATGTCATGGAAACAACAAGGACCTTGGATTTTCCCGAGTCCTGCCTCTTAACAAACTGTGTGAGTTTAAGCAAGTTTCTTCACGTCTTTGAACCTTTGTTTCCTCATCTCTTAATTAGAGAGCATCATTTCCACCGAACAGAGATATTGTTGATAATAAAATAAGATAGTTATGTAAAACACATAGCTTCGAGGCACCTGGTTTGTACTTTACAAATTACATGTAGGTGTGACCCCCCCTCGCGCCCCCCCCCACACACACACAAAGTCCAGCAGAGGAAAGAGGTGATTAAAAGAAAAGTCTGTCTTCCCCCTGTTACGAAAAATGGCTAGAAGAGAAGATTGACAGCGATAGCTAAGTTTTGGCAATCAAAACAGTTCACAATGATTTGGTCTTTTAATTATACCAGGAACAAAAGATGCTCTATCCAGCTCCATTTTATCCAGGCAATTGCAGTGTGAATGAGGATGATGATGATAACAAATGACAATCATGATAGCAGTTCTCATTTATCGCACTCTGACCACAAACCATTGCCTGTGCTAAGCATTTCTCATGTAATCACATGTAATCACTTGCCCTGCACGACAAGTGAACAGCCATGGTGGTGTGGATGGGGCTGGGTCTTTGGAATCAGACAGACCTGGGCCGATCCTGCCTCCACAACTCCCTAGGGCTGTGACCTGAGTCATTTCAAACCTGTATGACACAGTTTTCACATCTACAGAATAGGGAGTATCATTCCTACCTCTGTGTGTTACATGAAATAATATGCACAGAGTGCTTAGTGCAGGACCAGGCCCAAGGTGGGTGACTTTTCATCTTTAAAGCCATCACCTCATTCCTGAGCATTACCCACCCCCCAATCCCCAAGGATGCTGGGGTTCAAGGAGCCCCATCACATAGGTACCGTGGCTGCCTGTGGGATCCTCCCGGACATGAGCTGGAAGAGAGTCTGCAGGGGGTCGTTGAGGGCCAGTGTGCTGGTGAAGCTGCAGAGAGAGGCAACCACCTGTCAGAGGACCAAGCCATGAGCGCTCCTCACCCACTGCCCGTGAGGCACAGGGCCTCAGAGACTCCTCTCACTTCAGGAGCACCTTCTGGAAATTGGGCTTTTCTTTTTTGCTTCTTTCATTTCCCAGGCAGGGAGGGAGGGTATTGGCAGGATCTTTGTTCCACTGAACACCTCGAATTTATCTCATTCTTGGGAGATCCTTTCTGTGCCTTGGCACTGATTCTCCAACTCTTGCGTAACGTTTCTGTAGGCCTTCTATCACAGAGATGACCCCCAACATCTAGAAGACCCTTAGAGGGCCCCAGCATCTCAGGCAAATCTCTTCTCTAAGGGTCCTTCTTGACAGCCCCCTGAACTCTCTCTCTCTTGGCCCTGCTCCATACTCAGCCCACAGCTCTCAGTGCTGTTGTTCTGGCTCATCTAGCCTGGACCTGTAGTAGTTTTACTCACAAGCACTAAATAGCCATTTTCAGTAACCAAAGAGGTGTAGAACAGGCACCAGAAAAGAGCCTGCTGATAACAAAGCATGGAATATGCCTAACAAGGATATAATAAGCTCTATCACTGATTTGAGATTTAAGCGCACTCAGTAAGAGACATTTTTCACAATTCACTGGGCCCAATCAAAAATCAATGGCCCAAGGCAAAAATCTGTAGCCGAGATGTATGCTCAAATGTGGGGTTGTGGGTTGTTCGTTTCCAAAACCCAAAGGAAAATCATCTCTCTGAACACCATCTTTTATTTCATAGCACTTTTGCCTTGGGAGCTCAGAGTGCTTATCATAATCAAACACCAGTGCTCCTCACCATTCCCATCTCTGAATATAACGAAGCATATAGTGGTGTTGCTCATCCCTGGGAAGACTCAGGGTTAGAGTAGTAAAGAGACTCAACAGAGGCCATTTTGAAGAATGGACTCTTGGTAGAGTGGGCCCCGTTAGCCCCACAGAGCTTAAAGTGGAGGTGACCTTCTTCTTAACCTTCATTTGATTCTCATTCTTTTTTGCTGTTCCATCACACTTGCTCTAAAATCCCACCTATATTTCTCTCTCCTCCTAGTTTGGGCATTCTTCCTGGCCTTCATGGCACCTGGCTCTTGGTGTGCCTATGATTACTGACTGCATGCATCCCTACACTCTTGACAACCTCCCACTGCACTGGACATGTCTTTGGATCCAATTTCCAGGCCTATAAACTCCTTCTCCAATGCAGCTCCAGCTCCTGCTGCCCCGTATCCCTACCAACTTCTCAGCAGCCACACGCTCCCTGCAAGACTAAGTAGTAGACAATTACTAACGCTCAGTCCCAAGGCTGTGTCAGTTAACCTTAAGTGATTGCCTAATTCCTTGTTGATGGAACTGTTTAGAGCAGCCCTCCCAAAGAGAGAAGGCTGCTGCAGTATAGAAACTTAATCTTTGGAAACTATGTCCCAGGGAAACATTACTCATGTTTTTTTCAACTTATCTGGTAGCAAGAACATGCCTGAGTCTAGGGGATAAGAACCTGGAGAAGAAAAATGCTATTTCCAGCTCAGAAAAGAGAAATTGGAAAGATGCTTAGGGCATGGGACTTCTCACTGCATCTTGCATTTCTTCACACCCTCACCCCCTCCTCTGGTGGGGCAGCCTCTCTCCTTCTTTGGTCTCCTTTCAAGTCCCCAACTCACCCACTCATCACCCAGTTATAGGTCCTTGGGTCCATCTTGCTGGATAGGAACAAAGCATGGCCCCACAAATGGTTCTTCATGGCCCACTCCAAGGCTTCCTGGAACAAAGCATCACATTCAATGTTGAATGTGGCAACAACAAAGGACTGTGCCTAGTACCACTGCACATGGAGCAGGGAAGGCGGGGCTCCCAGGAAGACCCAGAGCCTCACACTGGCATGTGAAAAGGGATTAGTGGGGAAATAGGCTTTCACTGGCACACATTTCTAAGTTGTCCCTTCTCCAGCCTTCACTATATGAAAATCCATTGTGCTATTTCATTAGCTCCTTCTCAGACATAGTTTCCAGTTAGTCCGATCTCTTTAGCAAAAGTCACACAACGCTTTTATGAACCTAAGGACCAGAAATGAGAGAAGTACCTTATTCTAAGGTTTGAGTTTCAAATTACAAGGAGCAAGATGGTATCCAGACCAAAACAAACTCATAGAAATCTAACTATAGAATTGTGATGATCAGGAGAGAGGTAGAGGGGAAACAGGTCGGGATGGGGCTATGATGGAAGATTATGGGTGCCTAGGTGATGGAAATGGTGCAGTACAATACATTTGAAGAGATACGAACCTATCCCCCCACCAAACATCCAGTGATGTAAATCGACATCACCTCAATAAAATAAACATTTAATTTTTTTTAAAGAATGGGATACACCAATATGTGAATTGAAATTATTTATAAGAACAGCAACTATATCATAATAAATACTTATAGAAATAAAATAATAAACTGACAAATAATAAAATAACAACTATGTTAGAGACTACTAATTTCCTCACCAAAGTTCATGCTCTCTTTCCTGGACAAGGAGTTGAACTACTTTTTCCCATATTCTTGCAATTGGATGTGACTGAATCCTAAGCCAGGGAACAAGAATGGAAATGATATGTGCCCTTTGGAGTTGGGCCTATAAACCAACTCACCCCCATCCTATCCTCCATGGCCTTTCCCCCACCAGACTGGCTGGATAAATAATACATAAATAATAGAGAGGGTATATATGATATGATATGATGTGTATATATGGTATGATATCATATCATATGTGTATATATGTATATTATAATATACACATATATTATATATTATTATATATGTATATATTATATATTATATTATTATATATTATATAGTATATAATATATTATATATACATATATTATATGTATAATATATAATATATATTATATACATATATATAAAACAAGCAAAGAGCTTCTAGGATTTAAAGACTATATGTTGGAGGTGGTAGAGGAGCTGACATCCTGAGTCCCTGAATGACAACATGGAAGAGAACTTCCCCTGTTCACCTTCCCCAACTCTCACATGAATAGAGAGTTCTATTCTATACAGACCAGTTTACCTACCCCAGCCAAAACTAAAATTAATTGCTTGTTAACTGGCAAGTACCTTGTTATGTCAAATTCGTGTCAAGGTGAGATGACATTAACAGGTGAGATGAGTTAGACCTGCAATTCTAGTGCATACACATACACACATCGTCACCTCTCCATTCAATTTTTGGAGATATTTAATAAGGGTTTAATTTATATATAAGATTTTAACCTGCCATTCATAATTTCCTTAATGCCCCAAAATGATAGGATTTGGGGATAGGAAGTGATAGTGAGGTGATTCCACTGCCCAATGAAAATTTCTTTAATCACCCCAACATTCCCGCCATGTTATCTTATTTAAAGAGAGAACAAATATGAATAGCCACAGTTACGGAATTCACCCCTATATCCTGTACAAGTGAAAAATTACCTTTCTCTGGTTTTGTATGTTTAAACCAACTCATAAAAATTTTAAGGGAGTTACTAATAATTGGTTGAGAATCATCAGTTTACTCAAAAATTTCCTCTTATATAACTTAAGAATAAGTGGGGGGGGGAACAAGAGCTTATATCAAATATGTCAATCTCACCCAATTCCAAAAATAAGACCCCAGCTAAGTAGTAATAAGGGTCTTAAAGATACTCTGGTATTTCTCACGAGTCACTTTGAACTCCCATAGCTCTCTATGTATCACTCACTTACCTTTGCGTCAAGGTGTGACTGCTGGTGTGGTGGATGGTCAGAAGCCAAAGCTCAGGCTTCAGGTGCTGAGATCTAAACTCTGATTCTATCACTTACTAACTTTCCTCATCTGCAAACACATAGAACAAGACTAAAACTTAACTTACAGAATTCCTACGAATATAAATGAAATAATGCAGGTTATGTGACATCTGCATATAGAAAAGGGGAAGAGATCGTCCCTGGTTTATGTCTGTATCCCCCTGGGTTCAATGCCTTTGAAGTAGTGGTGCTTAATAATGTGGGAAAAAATGAATCACAAGTGAAATTGTGGCTCTTATATAGTGACTATATATGTATATATACACTATATATTTTATATATACTATATATAAATATAAATAAATGTACAGTAATTTAATTAGATTTTTGTATTTTCCTGCAAAGACAAGGATAGGAAAATGCAACAAGTTAACACATCAAATGTTAACAGGGTGTTATCTTTTAATGGTAGGGCTATGGGTGCTTTTGTTTTCTTCTTTGTACCTTGTGAACTTAAGTGCTATAAATAAGCATTTATTACTCATCTTTGGGGAGGGATAATGATGTGAATGGGGATTGCTTTTAAAATTCAGCATGAAGGGGTCACACTTGCCTTCTTTCTTCCAAAGTAGAGCAGTTTGGTGAATTTCTCCACTATCTGAGCAGGCGTCTCCACGCTGGGGGGGATCTCCCCAGTGAGCAGGTTTGGGGTCCCGGAGCTCATCAACGGCCAGTCCTCATCGGTCAGGTTGATGAGGTTCGCCACCGGGGTCTGCCTCTTGTACTTCTGCAGCTTCTGGCAGTCTTGCATCAGCAGCTCCGCAATGTCTGACCCCACCATAGACTGCAAGGCAAAGAGAGCATCCTGAGAGTGAACCCTACCAAGCTGGTAGCCTTGGCTGAGCTTTTGCCTTTTTCATGAGGACCCCAGTCGTGCCACACAAGGCAGTCCTCTCTTGGATGGGTGTATTGAAAACTTCATATTCGTTCTCATTATTATTTTCTGCCTGTCAGGAGCCATAAAGCTTACCAGAAATGTGCACACGCTCATAGGCGTATTACCTAGCTGGTGCAGCCGCCCAAGAACTTGACCCTAACCCCCAGCCAGGAGAGAAGGGCTCAGAAAGGGTTAGCGTTAAGAAGGTTCAGCAATTTATCTCTCTTAGGTCGCTGGTTGCTTCTTTAACATTGCCTTTTATAATCATGCCATAAGCCAAATCTTATCTATCCCGGAAGACTTAAATTTCAACCCAGCCAACACCAACCTACCCCAAGAGCGGCCATGCTCACCCCATTCTGCCGACAAAGGAGAACCAACAGTTGCCACAGTAAGGCCGAGTCTTTGCTCCTCGGTGTCCCAGATTTGCGGCTCTGAGCTGCTTTCTGCTGGCAAAAGGTCATGATATCCACCTTGTGTACATCCTCCCTTTGGAGAAAGTTCAAGAGGCCAAGTGAGCTGGCAGCATCTGCCCCCATAGGACCTGCAGGCTCCTATAGTGTGAGGGAGTCCAGGCTGGCTGAGAAGTCTGACTGAAAAGGACGTCAGAGATTCTCTCCTACCCACCCCTTCCATTTTACAGATGACAAAACTGAGTCTCAGAGGCGGAGATGGCTGCCGAGGGTATGAGGTAAGAACCCAATATTTGGCTTCACACAAGCCTGGGTTTAAACTACATCTGTCTATCTGCCTGTAAGAAATAGAAACAACTCATATTTTTTTAATATTTTATTTTATATAATTCTTACATCATTTTTCATTTTTGCACAATGTATGCATTTTCATTTTGGTTATATTCCCCATACAATTGCACCCCCCCTTATTTTGATCCTAGTCCTTCCTCTCCCCACCCCTCCCTACCCCCAGTGTGTCTCTGGTTTATAGTTGCTTGTTGATTTTGATATTTACTTTGTATTAATTAGTCTTTTTCCTGGTCCCTTATTTAGGTTTTCTAAATTCCTGCTATGACAACTCATACTTTTAATTGAGGTTGCTGTCAAAAAGCCATATAGGGATTTTCTTAGAAGGGGAGATTCGGGAAAATGCATTTATTTAACAATAAGGATATTTGAAGGATTTCCACATACATATCTCATTTGTATCTCATAGTTACCACCTGAGTAGGAATAATCAATAGCAATGTTCTTAAAAGGAAGTTCAGGAGGTACTGAGTGAACAGTCCACCCCAGCACCTCAGTCCACCGGGCACCTCTAGCCAGTAGGATGCCTGGGTCTGGAATCCAGGTCCTCAGACACCAGCCAAGACCCTCTCTACAACAGGGGGCGCCCTGGATATTTCTCAGAAACATGACCAGGAATTTAAAAGCAGTTCTAGCTCAAGCCTGCAGAGGGCAGACTTGCACATTGCCCATATCTCAGAAGCCGGCCATAATCTCTGCCTCTCCAGAAAAAGGCAATTTTTCCCCCCTACTATGATCCACTTGTCCATGATTTCCCAGGCTGTGCTCCAACTTTTCCCTACTATCTATTAGGTACACAGAACTCTAAAACCTCCTATCATGTTGCTTCTGTGAACCAGAAGTGATTTCAGATTTTTAAACCTTTTAAGTTAATTTTTCTTTTGCCCTTCAACGATCAAATTCTTGTCAAAATGACTCAGGCCACATCTGATTCTGTCTTGTAGCACAGAGAATTCTACTTAAATGGGGATAGAAATTTTCTTTCAAGGCAGCCAAGAACAAATCCCCAGATTGCTGATCTGGGCAGAAAGATTCTCTAGGTTTCAAAAGACTTTACTCGGCAACTCTTATGGTAATTTACCTGATTAAGGGTCCTGAGAAGGCCCTCATTTCTTCTTGTTCCTCAGAGTCATTAAGAATAACCTGAAATGAAAACACAGATTTGGTCTTCTAGACTATTCAAACCAATGCCCCTTTCAGCCAAGTCCAATATCAGAAACCAGAGCCAGGTCCTGGAATATGGCACAGTGCCTCATAGAGAAGGCAGAAGGACAAAAGTGAGTTCTCCAATACTGAAAATAACCCAATAAAATCTCAGGGGAAAAGTGACTTTGGCCACTCTTTTCAAAACAGAGCTCCCCCACCCCTGCCTCCTACCTAAGCCCTGCCTTCCTGCATACACACACCAATCACCACAGGTGCACACCACACCTGAGGATGCCCAGTCTCAGGCAAAAGGAAAGCAGAAGAAGTATGTTAAGAGGAGTTGGGAAACAGCGGGCTGCATTCAGGAACACAGGATCTTGTTTACCTCCATGCTGTGCAGTTCAACAAGGGCTGTTTGTCCATCTCTGGGAGAGCTGGGACCCACACGTACTAGCTGACCACCTGGGCCAAAACTCACAGGCACATGAGGGATGTAGAACTTCATGGGTGTCTTGGGACCTCCTGTGGAGACATCCTCTGACCAACACACACAGATGGGCACTGTTAGCATTACTGCCATACCCTTCCTTACTTTAGAAATATGCCACAGACACATTTCTGTACAAATTCTACCGGGGACCAAGATAAGACTCTGAGTGAGCTACCTGATTAGAAGATGACCCCCTCCAAGTCAGATTTAGGCCTCTGAGAGTATGTCACAATTTCATGCAAGAATTTGAGGGTTTGGTCCAATGATAATGTACCAGGCCCAGTTCTCAGTGGGAGATCTTTTGTAGCCCCAGAACTCACACAAGTCTTACATCCAAACACAATTATGCTGTGTGTCTGTCTTTGCTTTACTGGCCTTTTACTCCAGTATCCACTTTTTACCTGTTGTTGAGAGCATCTCTGAAGTCTAAATCTCTAATCTCTAAATCTCTCAGAGCCTGATGATAGCTGGAGGCAGTGTTCCCTTCAAAGAATCACCTATGATGCAATTTCCATTGCAAGAGAAAAGATGGAGCCAATGCTGGCTTTTTGTCCAGGGGAGCTACATAGGAAAATGGGGTAGATAACAATCCAAGTTTGGAAATATTGGGAAAGGGTGACTTCCCAAGAGACTTGCCACTCAACCCACATCGCATCAGACTCAAGCAATTCCTTTGACAATTTCAGTACTCACCAGCCTGAATTGGACTCCAAGCTGTTGAAGTCATGGGCCCAGGTGGCTCTGTGGCATCTGCCATGTACTGACTAAGCTCATAACTGCTGGAGCTGAGACCAGACTCCTGCTGCTGAAGGAGGTTGGACTCCCTGGTCATCGATAGCTACAAGTTAAACAGCATGTAAACACTTGGAAAGAAGCAGAAGCAGCTTCAGAGAATTGTTCCTCCCAAATGTTCCTTCCGTGCAAAAAACTCCAAACTTTCAAATAATTAAGTGAATATAGGTACAATGATAGGAAAAGAAGAGCCCAAAATCAAGTAAGTGGATCGTGAAAATGTGGTGTAGAAACACAATGGAATACTACTCAGCAATCAAAAAGATGAACTCATGCCATCTGGAGCCTACAGAGATTATGCTAAGTGAAATAAGTCAGAATGAGAAAGACAAACACTGAATCGTATCACTTATATGTGGAATATAGAGAAACCAAACAAAGACTTAGATGATGACAAACTCAAAAGCTAACCCTTGAAAGCTAACTATAGAACTGAGGCATCCAGCAGGGGAGGAAGAAGGAAGGAGTAAGAAGTAAGGAAGGAGCACAATGGACTATGGTGGTAGACAATGGCTGCTTTGAAGGTGGGTGCACTATGGTAACTACACCTGAAAGGGGGATCCTACATTTTCAAAATACAAACCACAGTGTAAACCAACATGACCTCAATTTAAAAACAAAAGGGAAAAGAACAGATAACTCAATTGACACGTATTTGCTGAAGAATGCATTATGACCTCATGGAAAAAGGGCAGACCCTGGGGTCAGGGGCCTTGAATTCAAATCCCAACTTTCTCATTTCCTAGCTTCTGTGACTTTGGACAGAGACATGGGTAATTTGGGCTCCTCACCCTCATCTGTAATATGGATCTCATATCTGCCCTACAGAGTAAGCGCTTACTCGTGCATTCATTCACCAACTCATGAACACCTACTGAGCTCCAGGCACTATGAGCTATAGACACTGGCACAAGACATTCACAGACTTACATGCTGGAAAAATGCAAAGAAAACAATGATGCCAAAGCTCTTTGTACATAGTCAAGTGTTCTACATGTGCATCGCGGCTGTTATCGTTATTAGTTAACAGAGCCCTTCTCTGTTAAGCATTAGGTATACAGAAGCAACTATACACCTAAAAAAAAAAAAGTCTAATCAGGGAAACAGAATTAATACAAGACTGTCAAAAATTAAGAGCTGGTGTCTAGAGGATCTTTACAACTTTTCCATAAAGCTAAAATAAAATGTTTGCTTAAAGTAATTTAAGAGTTCCCATGTTGTGGCCCAGCTTGTATACACAGTAAAATTTTAAGAGATGGATGAGTACAGAAAGGTTTCAAGGTCTGCTTTTCAGACCTGAATTAAAAGATTCTAGCAAATTCTCACTTCTTGGATAAACCAAATTGCTAGTCCCTGGGACACTGGTGGCAGCCTCTTTCCCTTTCCCACTTTGAAGTCACTCATGTGGCATTTCCTTGATTCAGCCAGTTTGGCAAAAATGCAGAAGAGTCAGATCAGGGCCCCAGACCTGCATGTCTGAAACAGGAGGGCAGGGAAAGAAGGAGGTACTGAAGCCCTGCCCGGAGGAAGGGGATCCTTCAGATAACTGGAGACCCCACCTCCACAGGCTGTGCCTCCACTGCTGACAGTGTCAGCTCTCACAGGCCACCAGCCCTGGTCACATCAGATTACCTTCTTTTGGGCCCCAGTTTTCAGATTCTCAGGAAACAGGTCCCCAGGCTTCTCCTGTCCAGAGTGAGAAGCAGGACTGTCTTTATAAGGGTTCCGACTCTTAGATCTGTAGCAAAATGACAGCAGGGAGTGAGAGGGGGGCCCCAGGGAAACAAGGCTGCCTGCACTGAGCTGGAGGCTGTTCTGCTTCAAATCATGGTTAGCTATCAGGTCAACCGTGTGCCATGAAGAAAAGCATTGTCCTCCATTGGCCACCTCAGACAATCAAAACCAGCAAAATAGGGGCTCCTGGATCCTCTAGTGCAGTTACCAGAAGTGCCCTGGACCCTGCAGAGAAGGGCCTGTAGCCAGACATTCTGGAATGGCCTAAATTAGAACACTTGAATTGATGAGTTCCAGGGTACAGGCGCCAAGCCTCAGGGCGCCAGGACTGATGCTTGCACAAAAGTCTCTTCTCTATTCTGCCTGATTCCAGAGGATTCTATACTCTGGGTACAGGGGTGAGCTGAGGAGACTCATCCCAGCCCCCAGCAAGAACCAATCATGAGGACTTTTGCAAGGCCACATCTGTTCTGAGGCCCACATAGAAGTTAGGTCTTCTCCTAGGATGGACCTCATAGGACTCAGTCTAGCCAGATTTGAGCACTGCCTCTCAGAGTTAAGAATCTGTCCACCCAATGCTCTGTTAACACCAGGCGCAGGTCATCCTGGGCTACTCCCACATCCCTGTGGCCAGAACAAAGGCAAAAGGGCTTCCAAAATGTGGGACCAGCACCAGATGCCATAATTTGCTTAACAAAGTTTGAGTTGGGCTGAAGCACATTAAACCAGCCTCCCCTCTCACACTTACTGGGGCTGGGTTTCACTGTTTGTTCCAGAAGGACTGCTCTGTTTTTCATGATGCTGGTCACTTAGGTACTTTTGGTCTCGATAAGCTTCGTGCCAGGTATAAGGACTCCCTTGCCTTGGCACTGCACCCTCAGAGAAAACAAAATAAAGACAGATCACTTCCTGTTCCCAAAAGCTCAGTAAGACACTAGCAAACTGTAAAGCAGAATTACTGGAATTTGGTAGGTATATATTTACTGAGCTGAATAAAATCGATGGGTGAGAGTTAATAATGTAAGTCTGGGGCCTCCCTGTTGGCACAGGTGGTTGAGTGCCACACTGTGAAACTGTCCGCAGCCTCTGCAGCATGGGTTCGATCCTGACCGGCGGGCGAGAATCCCACATGACGAAGCAGACCTCTCCTGTCTCGCCCACTGCTCCCCTCAGCAGTGTATTTCTTCAGTCTGCCTGTTCTGTTCCCTGCTTTGTCTCTGGTGAATCCTCTCACCCTCCTGCGCATCTGGCCTGTACCCCGGTACTTGTATAAAAATAAATAAATCTTTAAAGAAAAATAATGTAAGTCTGTAAGATGTCCCTAAGTCTTCTATGAACCAACAAGAATGTACTTGGTGGGGATTGAAACAGCTGTACATGGTGGGGAGTGTGTGTGTATGCTTTCATGTGAGTGCATATTTTCTCAACACTAAAACTGATCTCTCTTTGCTAGCTGGTCAGGAGTTCCTGCAAACACACACCTAAAGCCTTATGATTGGTGTAGGGCATAAACTCCTGTTGGCATCTATCTGCCACCCTCAGGCTGATTGGTGGTCAGACTCATATTACAGCCCAGCCATGCATTTGACTGCATTGTGAAGAACTGGCTTGACCGCAATTTGGTAGAGACTATAATCTTGTCTATAATCCACAAAAATGAAACTAGACCACTACTTCTCACCATGCACAAAAATCAACTCAAAATGGATAAGAGAACTGGACATAAGACCTGAAACCATAAAATATATAGAAGAAAACATAGGTAAAACACTACAAGACGTACATCGCAATAACATCTTTAAAGACTCATCACCCAAAGCAAAAAAAGTCAAGAAAAAGATAAACACCTGGGATTACATCAAACTGAAAACCTTCTGCAAAGCAAAAGAGACATTAACCAAAACAGAGAGACACTTCACTGATTGGGAAAAAATCCTTGCACTCCAATCAGCTGATAAAGGACTGATCACAAAGATATACAAAGAACTCACACGACTCAACAAAAACAAAATAAACAATCCAGTCAAGAAAGGGCAGAAGAAGTTAAAAGACATTTCTCCAAAGAGGAAATGCAAATGGCCAACAGGCATATGAAAAAATGTTCAACATCCCTTATAATCAGGGAAATGCAAATCAAAACCACACTGAGATACCACCTTACACCAGTGAGAATGGCACATAAAAAAAACAAGCAACAACAAATGTTGGCGAGGATGTGGTGAAAAAGGAACTCTCCTACATTGCTGGTGGGAGTGCAAACTGATCCAACAACTATGGAAAGCTGTCTGGAGGTTCCTCAGTCTACTAAAAATGGAGCTAGCATAAGACCCAGCAATTCCACTCCTAGGGATCTACCCAAAGGACACAAAAACATTGATTCAAAAGAACACCTGTACCCCCATGTTTATTGGAGCACTATTTACAATAGGTAAAACCTGGAAACAACCCAAATGCCCACAAACAGATGACTGGATCAAGAAGATGTGGCATATACGCACAATGGAATAGTATTCAGCAATCAAAAAAGATAAACTCATGCCATTTGCAGCACTGTGGATGGAGCTAGAAGGAATTATGCTCGGTGAAATAAGCCAGAAGGAAAAAAGAAAAATATCGGATGGTTTCCCTTACAGCAGGAATATAGGGGAACCAAATAAGACATCAGTGTAAAAAAATAATAACAATACAAAACATGACAAAGCAAAAACAGACAATTATAAACCAGAGACATACTGCAGGGGAGGAGAAGGGTGAGGGATCAGAGGGAGGGAGGGAGGAGCACAGGGGACTGAGGTGATGGTGCACGGGTGCATTGGGGAAGGAAATTCTATGGGGACTACACCTGAGGGGGATGGGGGAAGCAAATATTGTTTTAAAATGAACAATGAGGGCCTCCCCTGGTGGTGCAGCGGTTGCGCACTGGGCTGTGAAGCTGCCCACAGCCTCTGCAGTGCCAGTTTGATCCCCAGCCACCGGTGAGGGTCCCACATGGCGCACAGACCTCTCCTGTTGCACCCACTGCTCCCCTCAGCAGTGTATTTCGTCACCCTGCCTGTTCTGTTCCCCGCTCTGGCTCTCACCCTTTCGTGCCTTTGACTGTACCCAGTGCTTGTATAAATAAATAAATAAATAAATAAATCTTAAAAAAAAAAAGAAAAACTTTAAAAAAAATAAAAAAGAACAATGATGTAAAAAATAAAAATAATTAATAAAAAATTTTAAATTAAAAAATTAAAAATAATAATGTGGATGAGGTTTGAACGATCCATTATACTATTCACATACTGATAGTTTCAGGAGCGTTTTCTATACATACAAAAAAAAAATGACTTCATTCTGTCTCCTGAGGACTTCTAGCAGCAGTGTCTTTACTTTGGCCTCAGCTGGCCAAGAAGAAAGCAGATGGGAGTGGGGGCTTTGCCTCAGCTGAGCAGGATGCCCCAGTGAGACTCTGTAGATGGCTCCTTGGTCTTTCACCTCTGCCCTATCAGGCCAGCTGTACACACCCACCATCCCCCAAAGGCTGCTTGGAAATTATTGCATACCTCTTTCATCCTGTAGCTGCTGTGGGTGTCCGTGATAGTAATAACCTCTGTAAGCATAGTCTTTCCTTAGGGTTGAAGAGTAATAGCTCTGATATGGATCCTCAATGCCTGGCCTAAAATATCACAAAGACAGTCATTCAAGGAGTATGATAGAGAGAGAAACTAGCGGGGGAGGGGACTCAACACATGAACCAAATTGACAGCAAAAGAATTATGACCCCTGTCTAGAATCTGCTTAAGCACAACAGTTAATTATAGATCCTATAAGCAGAAATTCCTGAATCAGAGCAGAAGTAGGACCTTTGCAATAAGAACAAGGCTGGAATTTTTACAGCAAAGCCATAACCATGTATCTCATTCTCCTTTTCATGATCCCTCTTATTCCTCAGATCTATACATCCAACAAAACATCACATTATCTTAGAAAACCTCTTCCTGAGTATTGTGTAAGTACTCAACATGCCATTGTCATTCCTGTGCATATTACAGATGGAAATAGGATGAAAGACTGAACTTGGACTGTCTTAAATGTGATTGTTCTACTGCTCTGTCCCTAACAAAACTTCCTTTGGAAATTCAATAATATAGGAAGGTTGCAGAAATGAATATCCTGACAATTCTTTAATAATTCACAGGGGCAAAGTTCTTTACAATAATTGTCATTATTTCAACTCTAAATCTTTAGGCAGGTAGATATTCCACCACCTTGAAAGGATAAAGCAGAACATAGGTGGATTCCAACATCCCATAAGAAATCAAATCCGATATCAATCAGAACTCAGGAGCAAGAATTCCAGATTCTCCTAGAAATAACTCATTGACACCTCACCATCTTAGATCTGATCTGGAAGCTTTTATTTGCTTCCTCTGAAGTAGATTTTGGTTTTACAATTCTATTCAGTCATTCAACGTACTTTTATATATATATATATATTTTTATGCCTATCACACTCTAAGTACTGTCCTAGGTACTGGGGATTTTCTTGGTGCTGGTAGGCAATGAGGAACTTTTCATAGGGATCCCTGGGAAGAGTTTTCTCTGCATATGTTGCTTTTGTGATCCCAGGACAAGACAGTCCCAGCTGCTATCCTGAATTTCACCATTCTTCCTGCCCTCTCCTCTGCCCCACACACTCAAGCACATTGTGATAGTTCCTTTGAGAGACTCCACTAAGAGACAAGAGTAGGGAAATACTATATTTCAGTCACCCAAATCCAATTTGAGAATGAAAAGTATTTAGCTTAGTCAATGTAGTAAGATAGAGAAGAAAAAAGAAGGAGAACTAAAAGGAAAGGGTAGGAGGAAACCAACAATCTTTTCAGATGCATGTACGGTCTTTTCCAAGCTCTAAAACTTTACCTTGCATACAACTGACCAGGATAACCACCTTCATAATAACCAAACCCAGACACAGACGGAGGCCATTCCCCAGATCTCAATGCATAATGAGGCTGTTGGTGATCTGCCCGAGGGTCCTGCTGGGGCTGTGAGCTCCCACGGGTGTCTTGAAATTGATGGAACCTCTCTTCAGTGTGCCAAGATTGAGGAGCAGGCCGGCGGTAGCCATCTTTCTGAAGGTCACGGTCTGGACCCTTAGATGGTGTCGTGGGCCTCCCATGTGGCTGAGAAGGCTGCTGGGGAACCCACAGTTCCATCCTTGACCCTCTGAATTTCTCTTGTGTTTTGAATCAGTTGGGTAATTATTTTATCTTCCTGTAGACAAAACAAAAAGGAAAAAAAATAATATCATTTTAGGCTTATGCACGATGGTTAATTAGGCTTTATGAAAAAAAGCACCCGTGATCCGTGCTATCTTCTATCTAAAACAAACCACATGGGCACTGATCTAAAGATATCTGGGAAAAATTGCAAGCAGATACAGTAATAGGCTAGACAATTATATTGATGTTGCCTTAAAAAATTTAAAAGTATATTTGGAGCAATAGATGTGGGAGGCAAATGAGACAGAGAACAGGAATAGCCGAAGCTCCAAACTCTATCAAAGTATTCCAATTAAATAAATGCTGGCTCATTTGTTCCACCAGCAAACATTTGTTCAATGCACTCTGGGAGCTCTTTGCTGGGATAGGGACAGCGTGGATCCTAGAGCTACACCAGAGTACAAAGCCCAACTCTGACATTTTCTCGCTCTTCATTGTTTCAAACTTCAATTTCCTTACCCATAACATGGGAACTAGTGACCAGCTGCAGTGTTATTGTCAGAGTTAAACACAATGTGTGCTAACACACTGAAGATGTTTAGTAATATTCTGTAAAATTTTGGTAGTGTGAGTGACTGAAGACACTTCCTAAAGCACAAGAGTGTTAAATTGACCTTAAGAAACATCTTTTCTGAATCCTTAGTTAATCCTTAAGTTAACCACTTAGAAAAATGTGGCCCCATGACACGGCTGTACCTATCCCTGTCTCAGCCATCTTCCTGGCTACAGATTTTAGAACCAGGAAGTCTCCCCAGAAGCTAACCAGTTCCCCCACTCATTCTTTTTTTTTTTTCAAGATTTATTTATTTTTATACAAGAGCTGGGGTACAGGCAAGAGGAGTGGGAGGGTGAGAGGATTCACCAGAGACAGAGTGGGGAACAGAACAGGCAGACTGATGAAATACACTGCTGAGGGGAGCAGTGGGCATGACAGGAGAGGTCTGCTGCGCCATGTGGGTATCTCCCCAGCCAGCCGGGAATCGAAACTGCACTGCAGAGGCTGCAGAGAGCTTCACAGTGCTGTACTCAACCCGCTGCACCAACAAGGAGGTCCCTGCACTCATTCTTTATAATAGGAAATAGCTCCAGAGGGCAGATTGCGTTACAAGTTTCTCCGCCCAGAGACGCAACTGCCTCCAGTAACCTCCAAAGGGAAAACACAGACCTTCACCCCCTACTCCCCACTCCTGATCTTGCATCAGGAATGTACATTAGCTCAATCAGACCCCACGTTTTTTCTCCCTTGGGAACTATTTCAAGTAGCAAGACTCTGAGCAAACCAGTTAACTTGCTCCCACTCCTAAAACCTCCTGCCTAATATAAAAATTCATATCAGAACAAAAGGTCAAAGGGTGTATGTTGAAATCAAGATGTCTGTCTGCTGAAATGACATGGAGCTAGGGTCCGCAACTATGAGCCAAGAGCTGTAAGCAGAACATACCAGAAGAGCAGAGTGCAGGATGCCTTCCACCTCAAAATCAGTCGTGGCTCAGGAGAACTAGCACCTTCCTTCCCCTATCAGCCCACCTCTTTGAAAAAGCCACATGTAATACAAACCTTTCCCAGCAAACGCCAGGAAAAACCAATGTCCCAGATACAGTGAAAGTTTATGTGGACTTTTTCCAGAAAGCCATGGAACGCAATACCATTTGGGCACAAGTAAGTTCAACAAGAACAAAGCCTCTTTATCTTTGTCCTCAGATATTTTCACTAGATAGCCCTTCTCCAACGGCCAATATGCAGTGTCCAAATCTCTTTGCCAGTGTCCAAATCATTTTGTTGCCAAGAGATACTAAGTCCAGTAGGTTATAATAAGAACACCAGACAGAAAACACCTCAATGTGAGAGCATTATATCTACTAAGATTCTCAATGTGAAAGCATTATATCTGCTACAACAAATCACACTCGCATGTTCACATAAATGACACTACCTGGCACCTTTAGGGTCAACATTGTCTTTCCTGAACTGACAGTCCAGTTCGCACAGCTGAAAGAAACACAAGAGAGCCAGCATTCCCACACACCTGCTTTGATGCCTTTCCACCTTCCTCCAGCGCAGCTTCAGGAACCTGGCCTAAGAGTCCTGCTCTCCTTTTAGGGACTGTCAAAGTCCAGGTGCCACATCTACCTAGACTTGTCTCCAATCTGCAGCCTGTCAGTTACCTTTGCAACTGCCCAGCCTCCCTGAGCTGAATCACTAGGGCAAAGTCCAGGCCAGAGGCCTCAGGCTGGGACAGACCTGACCGGTGTATTTGTCCAGAGCCCTGTTAGAAGCTGGTGCTTCTGTTTGCCTAGCCCTGGGCTGAGTCAGGTTTATTCACATGAAAAAGCATCCAAACTCCCACAGCAAACAAGGAAGAGAGACACCAGAGAGAGGAAGTCCAGAAAGCCCCAAGGCAGCCTAGCCCAGGGAGAAGGGCACCACTTAGGCATGTTGGCATGTGTCCCCACCACTGGCCGGTTCTATGACTTAACCCCTCTGGCTCAGTTTCTTCTTTCTGAAAGAGGAATAAAATACCTAGTATTTTAAATGTTTCGAAAGTGGCACATGGTCAATAAATATGTTCTTTGAAGAAGGATTATTTTTCCATTCAAAAGACACGAGCTGATTCCACTGGCAGAGGCAGGGAGCTCACCGGTGAGTGGTAAGTACTTGGTCTGTCTGCTTTGGGTTTTTCCCATTCGTTTTTCTCACCATTGGATTCTATTTGTGCTCTCTAGATGGGAGCGAAATTTTAAAAACCCAATCTTGAACTGAAGGCCCTGAAAAGCTTCCTATTACAAGAAAATAATTTCTCATGTTCATGACCACTTTTGAATGAACATTTTAAAATTCAACAAGTCATCATGTTAAACATCATCAGCTCACACAATGTCCATGTTAGTTATATCATAATAAAGTTGGGGGAAAATAGATAAATTTCAGAATTGGGTCTTTAAAAGCCCACACCATTTATTCTTTCTTTAACAAACACTTACTGAGTCCCTATTGTGTACTGGGATTTGACACATAAATCCTGGCCTTTACATAACTTAGAGCAAATTAACCTCTCAAATTGTCAGTAGACCAGGGAGGCCACTATAGCTGGTCTTAGGCTCAGACAGGATAAAATGTGCCTAAACTAGAAGACTTTTTTTTATTTTAATAAACTCTTAAGATCTGACAGCAAAACTGAGGCAACCAAGGGGGAGGGCAGTGGCTGGGGTTAGGGGAGAGAGGGATCCCAGTGGAACACCATGGAAGATTGTTGGGACACGGGTGGTGGGCTGGATATGAATGGATACATTTGTGGAAGTTTGACCATATAACCCCTGGAACACATGCAAAATGTAAACCTATTTTATCTCAATAAACATAATTGGGGAGGAAAAAGACTTTTATTTGTATTTGTTATTGAAGTAATAGTGCATTATATGTTTTAGGTGTGCATCATTATTAGTGATTATTAACTACATCATTAACTAAATCACATTAAGTTCACCACCATAATTCCAGTTCCATCCTTCACCAAACAATTGACTCTTTTTTTACCCTTTTTGTCCAAACTCCAAACATTTTCCTTTTGGTAACCACTAGTTTGCTCTTACTAAACTGCAAGATTTTCTGTGACATCCTAAACTGACTCCTAGGATCTTTACTGAATGTAGAATTCTCTGGCTCATGCTTAATGGTTTCTTACCTCCTGATGGGCTGTGAAGTTTGGCTCACAGACAAGTTCAGCCCTCCTGGGAAGAGGTATTGGAAAAGGACACACACACTGACAACAGGATTCAGACACAGCTGATTAGGACACAGGCTCAGATATCAATTATGTGTTCCAGTATAGCACAATACCATTCCTAAGTGTCTGATATAATTCTTTTGATTTATAATAAGATGTTAATTAATTAATTTTGCTGAGCTGACAAGAGCTGTTTCGGGAATTGCGTGAGCCATGGGTAATCTGAAATCTATCATGGTGGGAAAATTTATACCATAGAAATTGGCAATTGCTACAAAGCAAGGTTGTTCTTGTGTTCAGAGAGGTAATTTACCAGAATACTGATTACAAGCCCAAAGTCCTAGCTCCTAATTCAGTGTTCTCTCAAGTACAGAATCATTATTCTGTTACTAGCTTTAGTGCACATCTCTGATTTAAACATCTAGCCCAGTTATTCCAAATACTCCTTTTGTGACATCCCAAAGCACCTCTAATTATCTCAAGAATTATTATGAAACTCTTCAAACACTCACCAACCAAAATTAATTTTAATTAGCTTTAATTATTTGATGTAGACATATGGCATGTAACAGTTATATGGGTCATGGAATGAAATAGATTGTAATGGGATCTCACCACTCCAAAAGGCTTGGGATTTATCAGTCCCTGCCTTCCCAGCCCCACATATCTACAGTTGCTAAGTCTTTTAAACTAACACCTCAATTCCTCCTAGTTTCTAACCAAATGTACCCAGCTTGACAACACATTAACAGCTCATTCCTACTAGGAGGTGAGCTAAAATTAGTCTTGCCACCCCAAATCCTGATAGCCATGCCCTTGCATGATCCCACAGGCTCCCCCATGTAAGAATAGCTCAGTCCTGACCTTCTCCCTTCCCCAAGTGTCCTATCCCCATACCCAATTCTTTCTCTGCATTCCAACTATCTGCTAAAGTTGAAGCCCCGGCCATTTGTTAATTCATGTGAATTTCCATTCCCAGCCTCTGTCCTTCCCAAATGTTAGATCACTGAGGAGGATCTTGCTTCAAACAAGAGTAACTACCCTAGCTTAACATCTGTCTAATGAAAGTATCATTGCAAAGTATGCTGCTAATATCTACCCACCAAATTAGTGCTGGTGGATGTGCATACCCACCTAGCTCCAAGTCAGGCTTGCCATGAATCCTACAAACTATGATTGAATGACTGGTAAAACTTGCAGGAACAGCTCAACAGTTGAGCCAGAATTCACCCCATTTCTTTAATGAAAGTAAAAATTTAAAAAACAAA